AATACAGCTGCAGAGGACAGTGAAGGGCAGGAGCAGGACTGAAAACTACAGGAACGAATTTGACATGTATTGTTTGGACAGAAGGGACGTGGAAAGAGATGTATACAGTGAGTGTCCGCTGCTCTGTCTGAACGATTACATCTCCTTTAATGTAATAGTCGTAATGTAATGGCCTTTATCTTGTGACCTCGAGGGCCCAGTCCTTCTTTGAATCCCTGCTTCTCCACAATCACAACATCTGTGTGGGAAACGCTGTCTGGACGAGATCTGCCAGGACGTCCCAGGACCGGACCGGACAGGACTGGACAGGACTGGACAGAGACATCAGATTAAGAGCAGTCTACAGGAGGAAGCAGAGTCAGGCGGAGCTCAGAGATAAAACGTAGCCGATGCCAATCTGTGAAACAAAAGTGAAACCATTTGAAGATCTGAAGACGCAGTTCAGGAAGGTTCAGCTTGTCGTCATGGTAGAAATAAAGGTATTTGGTTCTTTTATACCAGACAATACTGAGTTAGCGATGATATTATCTTAGTACATGGGATAGTACATGTACAATAATTCAGTGCGACTGAGGGAGATTGGATGGAAATCCAGTGTATTTACTGCCCTTACCATCCTTTCATTCAGTTACATTTCAACCTATTTTGTGTTTCCCTAAGGACTTTTTGTAACATTTTATATTAATGGTACATGAGTTCATGTATGATTCTCATGAACCAATGCATAAATTAATGCATGATTTCATGATACATTCATGCATTACTAGATCATGAATTCTCATGAACTGACATGATTACATGTAGGTTCATGGATGACTTCTTCCATGAATTAATGGTTGAACTAATGTTATGAATTTACATGAAAACCTTAAAGAATCATCATGATCATGAGGATCACATAAGAATACCATGAATTTACTGAAACAGCAGTGAAATGACAATAAAATGATCAACCTATCATTACTCATGAGGATCATACATGAATGGCGGAAATCTACTGCAAATTATGGACAACACAATGTGCAACTTTCTAGGACAACATTTACGGCAGTCATGAACTCATCATTAGCTAATCCAAAATATATCATGACCTTCCTGTCTGATAAAGCTGGTTTAAAGATATGACTGAGGCCAAGAATACATACATGTGAAAACTAGTGATCGAAGCAAACCGTTTTAGAGACAGGAACTTGGATTTTATCACATCGGTCCATATTTTGTGGCTTGAAAGTTAGGTATCCCAGCTTTAAATGAGTGTAATGGGTTGTTCCAGCTGCAGGGCTGTGGTTTCATGTACTTTAGCACTTTATGATGCACCTGCAGGAGCTGACAGCACAACAGCACTAATACTCAGTTCAATTCTATTCAATGTAATATACATTATATATACATTATATATACCCAAATTACAACAAATAGATAGATTGATAGATATTTTATTGATACCAGTAGGATAAATTTAGTTGCAGCAGAAACACATCCATCTACACAAATAAAACAAATACATTGATAATTCTAAAAATCTAACAATAGTAATAATAAGAAACAGCACTTCAGGTCACATCAGCAGAGGCGGTGCGGCCATGGGTGGAACAGTAGTAATCATGATGGATTCACACAGTTGTGGATTTGCCCACACAGATCAGAGAATCAGGAAATGCAATCACAAAAACACATAGAGCCATTGGTCCATAGGGGGCGATATGCGGCGTCTCTGAAGATCTGAACTCCACTTGTCTTGTCTCTTTCATTGCTTTGTGTTCGATAGATTCAGACGTACAAACTTTCTGACAGCTCTGTGCAAAGGAGTTCGAGTAAATGTAGGTGATGTTTATTTAATGCATAAATGTGGTTTTGTGAAGACGAGAACGATGCATTCAACTGCTGCACTGCAAATATGTGTTTACAGAAGTAAACACATATGAAGATGGTTCAAAACATCATAATCATTTGTCAGTCTCCAACACGGACATGATTTAGAAACCGTGGAATTGAACCAATATTTTGTGAACATCAGTGTTTTGGTTCAGTTACTTTAAAATGTATACAGTTACAAATCACTAGAGGCGTCCCTTGCCAACAGGCAAGACAGGCAGCTTACAGGGGCCCCCAAACCGGCAGGGGGCCCCGGAGGGCCAACTGATTTGACACAAGCGGTCGACTTGTACAGGCTACAACAGCTAACTGCAGTGACGAGTTGGCGGATAAAAACTTTTCGTCTGATGCAAAACTTGCCACGTTTTTCATTAACAGGTAAAAAACCTGCCTGGGGAAGATTATATATGTACAGTATCAGCGGTCGAGTGGTTAAGAACCACGATGGCCTAGGTTCCAATCAAGGTGAGAGCACTGTTTTGGATTAGATTATTTATATTATATTCTATGACAGATTGCTCAAGAACGGTAAAAAACAAGCCGTTTTTTGCAGATTAAAGCAAAGAGCTAAGATTTTGTAGGATTAATACACTTGATAGGTAGTTTTTGTAATTAATTATAACATGATGAGTGTAGTGAACAAGCTTATAAAAAGACATGCTAAATTATTTCTCATTGCTTTGTGTCACGATAAGGACTGAAGTACTCACAATTTTCTATGGTAGACTGTAGAGTATGCCAGGCAGGCCCCAGGCCTATCCATTTATTGTTAAAAATAATAAATTATTGTGAACAAGTAATAGATATTGCATTTTACCTTTTTAATGAATACATATTTATATCTACTGTAATATAAACCTTTTTATGTGATTATGTGGTCGTTATTGGGGCCCCCAAGGGGACACCCTTGGAACGCCACTGCAAATCACTACTTCCTTATATAAAAAGTTATTAGTTACATTACTTTGTTACTGCCCCAAGAAAGTAAGAGAACAGAATCAAGTTTGTATGTTTGCTTTATTAAAGTCATTTAAAGTCATTTGAATAAAGGTCTATGTTAGTCAAAACTGGCTCAGATGTTGATGCTCAACTTGGTCAGGACGACCAGAGCTGGAGGATTTTTAGTGGTTTTTTTAGTATCTGGTCTTCCTTCTGGCATTTGGTGCATCTGGTATCTGTCTTTTTACTGGCATCTGGTCTAACACCAGTTCTTCCATTTGGTCTTTTTGTGGCATCTAGTTTTCTATCAGGCCTTGTATGGCTTCTGGTCTGCCGTATGTTTTGTGGCGTCCAGACTGGAATCTGTCATGGCATCACCAATGTGTCTTTCTGGCTTTCTGGCTCTGAAATGGCATGTGTTTTGATATTGGTCAGGGATCCTTCATTTTTTCCAACATCTGGTATTTTTCTGGGACTTCTGGCATCTGATGTGTCCTAATGAGTAGTACAATGAAGAGGAGGAGGGACACACAAAACTGCACATAAGATGATTTACCTGTATTTAATATAAACACAGGGGTTGAGCCCTCCTCCTCCACTCTGTCTCTCCACTGTCTCGCTCTGCTCTGGTCACTTCTGTCTGTCTCAGAGCTGCCCTGTGCCTTCTGGTCTGGCACTTTCCATTTACTTCTATCTTCTGGTTTTCCATCACAAATAATTATTGTGCTGAAGACAACAAAGCATTGAAGTGGGAGGAGAGACACATGGAATGTTCATATGATGATTCACCTGTATTCAATGTGAACACGTGTATAACCCTCCTCCTCCTCTCCGCCTCTCCACTGTCTGAACTCATCCGTTCCACCTCACTGGTAAAAAAAAAAAAACAGACATATGAATTCTCTGCTCTTCATTATTTGCATTATTTGAAACAATGCAGTCTTGTAAAGTAATTTGATAACAACATTACTTAAACTATACTAAAAAAAATGTCCTTAATCTTCTTTTTGAGATCTATGAGAGAACATGGATGGAGGAAACCTGTGAATCAAAGTTGTTAACCACATACAAACAGTACTGTAAATTACAAGTGTGTTGAAACTTTTTACACATATTATATAAGTAACTTGGACACGCTGGGATACAGACATGGCTGCTGCTAGAGCTACAGCTCATCCGTGGCATCTGTTGCAATTGCAAAATCAACTTCAAGCATTTGTGGCATCTGTTCTGATATTAATAGCATCTGACATGTTTTGTCTCCCTGCTCTGGTCACTGCTGTGTCCTATAATAATTTGATAAGGCATTGAAGTGACGCACACTTCAAGGGACAACTTAAATGTCCATAAAAGGATTTACCTGGTGTTTGGTTTGAACACATGGAAAATAACCCTCCTCCTGCACTTCGTCTCTCCACTGTCTCAACTATAAACAACAAACAAATTAATTTACTGGACTTCATCACACAGAAATAACTCTATGCTATACCTGTACAGTATATTTCCTGAATGGGCACATTTTCAAAGTTTTACTGCATTTTTTAATCTAAAACAGAGGAAGTCTGTTGAAGTAATTTGGCAATTACTATTTAAACTATACTTACTTGTGTTCTTGATCCTCTTTTATCCTAAAAAGCAAACCTGTGAATTACAGCTATATCAAAAATGTTAGGGTACATTGGACATGCTGAGATTTAGACAGGCTAGTGTTGTGGCTTCAGTGTTTTTTTTTTTTAAGGGATCCAACAGAGATCCGACTACAACAATGGTATTACAGTAACAGACATAACCTGTCCATTTAAGGGTACAAAACAAACATGTGTTTTTTTTAGGAATCCAACGGGATTCACAACAATTATAACAGTAACAAACTTAACCTATATAAAGGATCAAACAAGGATCCTGCAAAAGATAACAACAACAAAAGTTTTTTTTTTTTTTAAAGGGATCAAACTGGGATCCAACTATGCACATATTTACACAGTCATACATCACCCATCACCGGGACACGGTCTTGTGAGCCCTAGTTCCTCTCTGCTCCTTAAAAGAAACAAAGCAGAGAGTGCATCAGTTCTTAACAAGACTTGTGCTTTTTAGGTGGATGTTTGGCGTCCGGCTCACGTGACCTTTTGCGCTTGTGCTGCTGGGCCTTCTCAGACACCGCCCAGGCCGAGGAAGGTCCAGGGATGGCAGGGGTGGGCTCCGACTGCGGGGCAATAGGGACAGAGTTAGCCTTAGCAGGAGGAGTGCGTCTGGGAACTTTACGGACGCACGGAAGAGGAGCGAACCAAGAGTCAGTCAGAGAAGTGAGCTGAAGACGCCCATATTCAGCTTCAGAATGGACATGATGTCATCCCCATAATAAAGTTTAGAACAGGTCGAATCAAGTCAAAACAGTTTTACAGTCTGTGGTGTCGGCCCCTGGATATGTCTGCGGAGCTGAAGTGGCCCTCAGGCTAAAAAGTGTGGACACCCTTTGAGGTGGCGCTTTGACGCTGACCTGTCTTTAGTGTCACTTGAAACAAAAAGTAACAAAAAATAAATCAAACAAGAGCAATGAAACTGAAGTGTCAGTTGGATAATGGATAATGCCAATCCATATATTCATTATACTGCAGAAAAAATACCTTTGCAGCTGTACTGTTTTATTCTCTGATCCGTGTTGGCGAATCGATGGCTTTCGGACCATAAAGTTCTCAGAGATACTGTTGTGATTCATGGCTATACAATAATAAATTGAATTGAATTGAATTGAATCATCACACACCTGAACGTCAAATAGAAGCCAAGTCCCAGGCTGGAAAAGGGACAACAGTAGTTTTCTGGTCACTACAACAAACATATCTCACACACACACACGCACACACAAACACACACACACACACACACACACACACACTACAGATTGTCGTCTGTTCTCAAAAGCACAGATAACACTTGTAACTGTAACTCTCAGAACAGTCGGCAGCTCTTCTAAACCACACAGATGAAGTCTCCTCTCTGTATCAACGCGCCTCAAATGAAACATGAGTGTCGTGCGTCACTCATTCAGTCGCAGCAGCTGCCTCCAGCGGTGAATAGTGACCGGAGACGCTGCCCCGGCGCCTCACAAAGCCCAGGGAGAGGGGCTGCAGGCGGGCAGGGGGCTGCAGGATGCCAGGGTCCTTAAGGCGGCTGGAGGATCCGGCGATTGAGTGTGGAGCTGGTCAGAATGGAAGCAGCTGCTGTATTCAAGAGAGTTTTAGGAACCGGAGTGAGCTCATGTGAGGGGGAAGTTTGGAAAGAAACCTGCAACTTTTAGATAAAACCGCTTCTGAATGATACATGATAACGAATTGGTTTTATATAGCACTTTTTAGGACACTCAAAGACACTTCACATTTCATTATTATTTCACTCCATACACTGTGGTGATAAATTACTACTGTAGCCATAACTGCCCTGGGGCACACTGACAGAAGCGAGGCAACCAGACTCATTCTAGGCAATGGGGGTGAAAGACACAAGAACAGTTTGACACTATTCACTGTGGCACCTGGTGTTCCCAGAGGTCTTCCATCACAGAACTAACCAGGCCCTGCTCTGCTTAGCTTCAGACGTGTGATGGGATCTGGCTTTCACATGCAGGTATGATATGTGTCTGTGGAACCGTGTGCTTTGGAGAACAAAGATCTAATCGATACATTTAAACTGACTTTAAAAGCAAATACACATAGTGGGGTAGATATACAAGAAAAATCCGGATAATCACATTTATTGCATAATGGGGCGGGAAATAAGTATTTGACCGATAACAAAAGTTCAACTCAATAATTGGGCAATGACAGAGGTCGAGCATTTCTCATAGGTTCCAACAAAATATCTGGTTCCAGCACATTGAAGATGGTATTTTGGCCCATTCTTCCATGCTGATCTTCTCGAGAACCGTGATGTTTTTGTTGGGTCTAAGGACTGTAATGACGACCCAGGACTTTTATGGACATTTACCAACATTCACATCAACACATCCTGCTCCAGCGATGGCTCTTATCAGAATCAGAATCAGAATGATTTTTATTGCCATGTAAGCAACAGGAAGTCACAGACTTGGAAATTGCTTTGGCTCAGTTCAACAGTCAGAAAAAATCATAATAAATCAGCATACACTTCTAAGAAATACAAATTAAAAAAGGACTTTTCTGATCTGTGTAAAATGAATAAACAACTTTGTCCTCTGAGATAACGGCAGTTTTAAGGCTATTTTAAGGCTCCGGTCTGAACAGGGCCTTTCTGAGTGGAGTATGCATGTTCTCCCCGTATCTGCGTAGGTTTCCTCTGGGTGCTTCGTTTTCCCCTACCACTAAAAACATGTACAATAGGTGAATGAATGTAAATGAGAGAGTGAATGGATGGTGTTGATTGGGAGCTGATGCGCCAGTGTGTTCAGCGACTCACTTCCTTCATCACCGTGTGTGGAACAATATCTGAACTCTGAACATTGTAAAGCGCTTTGGGTGACCTTGGTTTGTAAAATGTGCTATATAAATAAACATTACTTACTTACTATATTTAGTTTTGTTTCAAAAACTGTTGCTTTATTTTCTTATTCCAAGGGAGACCTTTCTTGCATCTTTTTAAAACAAGAGAGCTTTTCTTGTCCTATTGGGAAATCTTGTTTTAAGTCAGAATGTGCTCAAATAAAAATACATTTGAACACATTTTTAAACTAATTTCACTTTTTGTGCAGACTTTCAACTTTCTCCAGTGCATTCAGAGCCAGAAGATAATTTGAGAATTTCACTTGGTCAGGTGAGAGTTTGGTGAACAATCTCTGGTTGTCTTTGGAGTGGATAGCACTTCCTGGGTCCTGGGTTCGAATCCCGGTCGGAGCAGGGCCTTTCTGAGTGGAGTTTGCATGTTCTCCCTATGTCTGCGTAGGTTTCCTCCAGGTGCTCCGGTTTCCTTTTACCACTAAAAACATGTACAAAAGGTCCGGCATGCGCCTCCTGAACTGGCGACCCCGCTCCCATCTCTGTGAGGAGTGAGAGACAAGTGCCCAAAATTGTAAACCGCTTTGTAACTCTGGTTTGTGAAAGGCGCTATATAAATAAAGATGACTTACTTACTTACTGAGGAAACATTATGGATAAAGAACAGTGATGGAGGCCACAGCGCTCACTGGGACCGTCGGCACTACGCGCTCTTGAATCCAGGAGAATGTAAACCGCTCATGTAAACGTGATTTATGTTTGAGTGACTTAAACAAACTGACCCCGATATAAAACACAGGTATTGGTCTAAGTGCTCGTCAAGCGTCCTGTCACATCAGAGAGCAGAGAGGGAAGTGTTCGCACGTCTAAATAAAGAGCACCTCAGAGATAAAAATAACGGGTTCAGAGGTCGCCACACACCCACTATTTTTAGATCACACACGGTTTACGGAGGTTTGAGGCGTGTTCTCAGGAGAGCGTCGGAACTCTCTCTCCCTGATCTATGACAGTCACACACAAACACACTCTACATTACTTTTACATTTTGATACAGATTTTTTTCCAGTGAGTGAAAAGACTTCTATCTATAAACAGCAACCTGTTTTATTTATTATTAAATTATTCTTTAATGATTCAGGAGGGTCCAAACACAGTGATGGTCTGGGACATTTAACACTAGAACTCTCATTTTGAATTCTCAATTCCCCCGAAAATTAAAATTTGTATTGTTTGATTTATTAAAAGTAGGTAATTTACAGTATATTTAACTTTACTCACTTTTACATATGTGCTAAAACTAGTAAATACAACTTGAAAGGCAAAATGCTAACTGCTGTTAGTATTTTGCTCCACCCAGAGGTCACTCCCACTCTGCTACAGTGACCCGACCTGCTCCACCTAGATACCACTCCATCTTTGCTGCTGTGACCTGAAGGCCTGTGGCTGATTAATACTATTATTTGCTTTTTAGAATGATCAATTGTATATTTGCTTCTGGTGGACACCTGAATTTCTCCTACGGGGATCAAGAAAGTATCTATCTATCTATCTGAGAATAAACACTGTGTTGCTATGGTAACTAGTACTGGGTCTTCATGTTAGAACTCACAATTAAAAAATAAAAGATAATAATGACAGAATGACTCCCCCCTTGGACTGCCACCTTGACGTGGTAGGGGAGTTTGAGTACTCGGATGATCCTGGGAGCTATGCTGTCTGGGATGTCATGCCCCTGGTAGGGTCTCCCATGGCAGACAGGTCTCAGGTGACGAGTCAGACGAAGGCAAGTCCAAAAACCATCATGGATCACACTACAAAGATAACAGTGACGTCGCCCGGCATGGCGCATCCGGAGCCCCACCCTGGAGCCAGGCCTAGGGTTGGGGCTTGCAAGCGAGCGCCTGGTGGCCGGGCCCTAGCCAGGCTCAACCCGAAGGGATGACGTGGGCAGTCCCTCCTGTGGGCCCACCACCTGCAGAGGGGTTCGTAGTGGCGAGGTGCAGCGAGGACTGGGCAGCGGTTGAAGGCGGAGACCTCGACGACCCAGTCCGCACGCACAACATCTGGCTCTTGGGACGTGGAACGTCACCTCACTGGGGGCAAAGGAGCCCGAGCTTGTGGGGGAGGTTGAGCGATACCGACTAGAGATAGTCGGCCTCACCTCCACACACAGCTTGGGCTCTGGAACCTAACTCCCTGAGAGGGGTTGGACGCTCCACTTTTCTGGTGTTTCCCGCGGGAAGAGGCGGCGAGCGGGGGTGGCCATACTCATTGCCCCCCATCTCAGCCGCCACGTGTTGGAGTTCTCCCCAGTAAATGAGAGCGTCCCTCCGCCTCCGGGTGGAGGCGGAGTACCCGGCCTTCTTGGAGTCCTTGGGAGTGGCACTGGACAGTGCACCGCCCGGGGACTACGTTATTCTCCTGGGGGACTTCAACGCCCATGTGGGAAATACCAGTGACACTTGGAGAGGGGTGATCGGGAAGAACGGCCCCCCTGATCTGAACCCAAGCGGTGTTCAGTTGTTGGACTTCTGTGCCAGTCACAGTTTGTCCATCACGAACACCATGTTCAAGCACAAGGGTGTCCACCAGTGCACGTGGCACCAGGACACCCTAGGCCGGAGGTCGATGATCACCTTTGTTGTCGTATCATCTGACCTTTGACCGCATGTCTCGGACACTCGGGTGAAGAGAGGGGCGGAGCTGTCAACCGATCATCACCTGGTCGGGAGTTGGATCCGCTGGCAGGGGAAGAAGCCGGTCAGACCTGGCAGGCCCAAGCGTGTAGTGAGGGTCTGCTGGGAACACCTTGCTGAGCCCCCTGTCAGACGGACTTTCAACTCACACCTCCGGGAGAGCTTCTCCCTGGTCCCGGCGGAGGAGGGGGACATTGAGTCTGAGTGGACCATGTTCTCTTCCTCTATCACCGATGCGGCGGCTCGTAGCTGTGGTTACAAGGTCTCTGGTGCTGGTCCCGGCGATCGTAGTAAGGGATGTCGTCAGGCTGAAGAAGGAGTCTAAGCGAGCAATGATGGTTCATGGGACTCCTAAGGCAGCTGTCCAGTACCGGCAGGCCAGCCGTGCCGCAGCCCGGGCTGTTGCAGAGGCAAAAACCCGGGACTGGGAGGAGTTCAGAGAGTCCATGGAGCATGACTATCGGTCGGCCTCGAAAAGATTCTGGCAAACCATCCGGCGCCTCAGGAGGGGGAAGCAGTTCTTTGCCAACACCGTGTATGGTGCGGGTGGAGAGCTGCTGACCTCGACTGGGGATATTGTCGGGCGGTGGAAGGAATACTTCGAGGTTCTCCTCAATCCCCCCGTCACGTCCTCCGTCCCGGAGGCAGAGGATGTTGGGGCGGATACTTCCATCTCCCTGGCTGAGGTCACCAAGGTGGTTGGCAGCCTCCATGGTGGCAAGGCGCCGGGAGTGGATGAGATCCGTCCTGACTATCTAAAGTCTCTGGATGTTGTAGGACTGTCTTGGCTGACACGTCTCTGCAACATCGCGTGGCGATCGGGGGCCGTGTCAATGGAGTGGCAGACCGGGGTGGTGGTCCCTCTCTACAAGAAGGGGGATTGGAGGGTGTGTTCCAATTATCGTGGGATCACACTCCTCAGCCTCCCCGGTAAGGTCTACTCCAGGGTACTGGAGAGAGGGCTACGGCCGATGGTCGAATCTCGGATTCAGGAGGAGCAGTGT